TGCACCCAAGAGGCCTCCTTCGGCCTTTTTCTTGTTCTGTTCTGAATATCGCCCAAAAATCAAAGGAGAACATCCTGGCCTATCCATTGGTGATGTTGCAAAGAAATTGGGAGAGATGTGGAGTAACACTGCTGCAGATGCTAAACAGCCTTATGAAAAGAAGGCCGCTAAGCTGAAGGAAAAATACGAAAAGGATATTGCTGCATACCGAGCTAAAGGAAAGCCTGATGCAGCAAAAAAGGAGTTGTCAAGGCTGAAAAGAGCAAGAAAAAGAAGGAGGAGGAGGAAGACGAGGAAGATGAAGAAGATGAGGAAGAAGAGGAAGATGAAGAGGATGAAGATGAAGATGATGATGAGTAAGTTGGTTCTAGCGCAGTTTTTTTTTCCTTGTCTATAAAGCATTTAACCCCCCTGTACACAACTCACTCCTTTTAAAGAAAAAAATTGAAATGTAAGGCTGTGTAAGATTTGTTTTTAAACTGCACAGTGCCTTTTTTTGTATAGTTAACACACTACCGAATGTGTCTTTAGCTAGCCCTGTCCTGGTGGCATTTTCAATAGCCACTAACCTTGCCTGGTGCAGTATGGGGGCTGTAAATTGGCATGGAAGTTTAAAGCAGGTTCTTGTTGGTGCACAGCACAAGTTAGTTATATATGGGGATGGCAGTTTTCTCATCTTCAGTTGTCTCTGACGCAGCTTATACGAAATAATTGTTCTGCTAACTGAATACCACTCTGTAATTGCAAAAAAAAAAAAAAAATTGCAGCTGTTTTGTTGACATTCTGAACGCTTCTAAGTTAATACAATTTTTTTATTAAAAAAAATAAATTGCCTCATTTGAAAAAAAAAAATTCTCCTTTCTGTGTTTCCTGTTCCCTTTCTTTGCAGCAGCAAGGGAAACATTGCTTCAGTTTATTTATACACACGAAGAGCCAGACAATACAGTTCAAGTTAACTTAAGATGTTTCAAGTCTAAGAATAAAGGAACCTCTGTGAGTTTATGATCTACTTGCCTTGTTTTTCTGATCAGGCACATGAGGCCCAGAGGGGTGCAGAATCTCACCTTGGGTAACATGCGAGCTGGGACAAGGACCCAAGAGCTTGTCACTCAGTATCATGTTCGTTCAGAGTCAGTGCTTTACCTGTTTCTTTGCTGTTTGAGTCAAAGACGAGGTTTCACAAAGGTCTGTGTGAAGATTGGTTCCAGATTCAGCGTTCGCTATGGTGAAAATCAGAGGGAAAAAGTGATCAAGGCTGTGAAATCTTGGTCTCAGGAATTTTGTGTATACATACACATACCTAGTTCAAATGCATGTAGACAACAGACACACACACAACTATGGCACTCATGTTTACTCATCAAGTAATGCCCATGACCTTCACAGGCACAGTCTAAATATCATGGTAAATGTAGTGCTAAAACTTTCTATTATTCAGGGGCCAGTTGGTGACCTACTGGTCAAGGCAGTTGGATCCCACATGACAGACTGTGTGATTTGAGTCCCAGACCTGCTGGCTTGAAGGACGTGCTGGAGGTATGTGGGTACATACCCAAAATCCCAAAAGGAGAGATGGAGGAGAAGGAATTACAGCGTGGCCATCTGTCACGGGGTGTGATTTCTCACTTTCTCTCTCTATCTCATATCTCTGGTGAGCACAAATTCTAAAGGAAAAATAAAAAACTTTTTATATTAAAATTTATGTTTTTCTTGTTTGGTTTGCTCTTTTTATTATTTATTTATTTTAAAAGAGATTTTTAGCAATAGGGTGCATGTCCTCACCAGAGAGACAAAAAGCGAGAAATCACCCTCCAGGGGTATGACCATGCCACAATCCTTTCTCTGCTCAGGATTATGGGCATGCATACACATGTGCCTGGAGTGAGTTTTAAGCCACTGGGTCTAGGACTCAAACCATGGTTGACTACATGGGAGTCCAGTGATGTAACCATTACACAATCTACTGGTCCCACTCATTTTTTAAAAAATTTATTTATTTACTTTATTCACTGTACATCATTACAGTACACAAAATGAGACTTTCCATCCAGAATACACTGTATATTGGCTCAATCAAGGCTATTACTGTACATGTTATCATAACAAATAATTTTCCGCTTCTTGTTTCTTGTATTCTTGCTTCTTTTTTCACTTGCTTTATTTTTTAAAGAATTACTTATTGGGGCCAGTAGGTGGTATGATGGTTAATGTGCTGAACTCCTACATGGCTGATTGTGGTTTGAGTCTCGGACCTGGCAGCTTGCTTTCTCACTTTCTCTCTCCCTCTGGTGAGTGCACATGTCCTATAGCAAATTCAAATAATAGTAACAATAAAATTAAATAAATAATTCTTAAAAAACAAAGAAGTTGAGCTTCTAAAAAAAATTTAACTTAATTTAATTTATTTTTATTTTTTAAAATTTGCTATAGGACACATGTGCTCACTAGAGAGAAAGAGGTAGAGAGAGAATGAGAAAGCAAGCCACTAGGTCTGGGCCTTGAACCGTGGTCAGCCACGTGTGAGTCCAGTGCCTCAACTACCATGCCACCTGGTGCCCCTAGGATTGCACTTTAAAAGAACAAAAGCAAATTCTTTGTGCTATTAAAGTTCAGATAAAGTTGAAATTGAAAAGAAAATACTGATGGAAAAAAATCTGCTAATGCTGTTGAATATAAATTTTGTGTGATCACACCTCATCGAAGCAGGAAAATGCTTCTGCAACCCTCTAGTGAGAGAGATCAGAGATTTTGCTTTTCCTGCATTTTGTGGAGGGTCAACAGGAGAGGTGGAAACATGTAGTAAACAAAGACAGAGATCGGGCCAGCAGATGATGTGGAGGTTAAGGCAGTTGAATCCCACATGGCTGACTTTGCAGTTTGAATCCCGGACCCAGTGGCTTGAAAATCATGCCAGGAATGAGTGTGTGTGCCCAAAATCCTTAGAAGAGAGTGGAGGAGAAGGGATTTCGGTCTGACCATCTGCTCTGGGGAGTGAGAAACCCTTCATCTCTCTCTGGCAAGCACACATGCCCTATAGAGAAACTGAAAAAAAAATTTTTTATAAGAAAATCTATGAGCAAAGACAGGTTGAAGTGAGGCTGGCAGGTGGGTAGGGACTAATAGAAATCGCGGAGTCTGCCATGAAGCAGGCCCCTGAGGACACCGACATGGCATTGGTGTGTAATCTCCACTTCTGTCCTCTTCTGTAATCCTCACTTCCGTCCTCTGGATTGCTTTTGTCACCGTTCTCTGCAGGAGTGGAAGGTGATCCTCAACAGGTGTAGTAACTTGCCCAAGGTTGTGCAATCAGCGAGGTTTGGAGTAAGGATCTGAGTCCACGACAGCCTGAGTCTAAAATTCCATGGTGAAAGAGGATGGGATTTATTTTGTTTTTCTTTTTTTCTTCTAAGAAAGTAAATTTTTAAAAAACTTGATCGGAGAGTGTGTACTTGCCAAAGAGAGACAGAGAGGGAGAGAGGGAGAGGGAGAGGGAGAGGAGAAAGCACCCTCCATGGCGACTGGTCATGCTGCAGTCCCTTCTCCTTCATTCCTGCCTCCTTTCAGGATTTTTGGGTATGTATATACATGTACTTGTTTCCCAAGTCACCAGGTCTGGGACTCTAACCACAGAGTCAGCCATGTGCAATCCAGTTCTTAAACCACTAGGCCATAAGCTGGCCCAAGAAACTAAATTTAATGTTCATAAAAGAATATGCATTTGAGGAACAGATTTAGTTAACTAAGCACATGGCACTACTAAGAATTTTAGTCTCTATTATGGGACCATGTCCAGCAGAAAGTTCTTTCCATGCTTGGTACTTGGATGTAGCTGCTGCTTCTTCTTCTTCTTCTTCTTCTTCTTCTTCTTCTTCTTCTTCTTCTTCTTCTTCTTTATTTTTTTTTGTAATATGTTGCTATATTATTCAGGTGCTCACCAGAGGGAGGGAGAGATAGATACACAGAGAGAAAGTGATAAGTCACCTTCTAGGGCAGATAGCCACACTGCATTCCCTTCTCCTGCATTCTTGTCTAGGGATTTTGGGCACACACGTACATGCATCCTGTGTTATTTTCCAAGCCACTGGGTCTGGGACTCAGACCACGCAGTCAGCCATGAGGGATCCAGACACCTTAGTCACCATGCCACTAGCTGGGCCTACTTAAGAGCCTATGGCTGAATGTGATTTGGTATCTTTGTCTCTTTGACAAATAGTCTCTACTTCTTCCTGTGGGCTAACCTTCCTTTTTTTTTCCTGTTGTTTCTCAGCTGCTCTCTCCTATCTTGTTTGAAAATGGCTTCTGCACAGATTTAAAACATTTCTTATTTAAATCAGCTCGGGGGAAAACTGAGGCCCAGAGAGTGATTTCACACCTTGCTCAAGGCCACAACTTGAACTAGTGCTAGACCACCCAGCGGAACCCAGATGTCCTGACTTAGCGTCTTGTGCTTTTCCTTCCACATCACACTACCTCCTGTTAGCCTCACTTGAGCTTGCCACATCCCAGCTGCTTGGCCATGATTCATCCTCTGGACAAATCCAGCCCAGCAGAATTGTGTTACGATGAGGTTCACTTCCCTGTGGCTTGGAAAGACCCAAGCAGCTCTTAGAAATGACACTTACAAATTCTAATGCATAAGGAAAGTTCTTGCAACACCAAGAGAATGAATCAGTCAGCCAGAGTTCAAGAAATGTAAACACATTTTTAGATAGGAGACTGAAAAATCACTTAGGACTTCTCCATCTCTTGGGTCAAGACCTTGGTAATTTTCTGAGGTCCAAGCCGTCAGAGAGAAGACACAACTCAAACTGCATTCCTGGGAGATAAAGCAACGAGGGTGGTAAAACTTCCTCTTAGAACAGTGGTGGCAAGATCTTCTCCTGTTATCAAATCAGAGAAACCGGCCGACCCATTGACCAACCCAGGCAGCTGGCGGTGTTTCTTTTTCATCATTCGGGAGTGGGTGTGCACGTCCAGTCTACAGACTGCACAATTTCCAGGCATGCCCGAAACTAGGAGTTCACAGCCTTTCTGTGATGAACATTTCTGCCCTCAAAGAGATAAACAGAAAACACATTCCTTTTCTGGCTGCCTACCGCCAGGCCTGAGCAGATTTTCAAACGCTGGCATTAATCTAACCACAGGCTTTTAGCGAGGAGATAGCATCCCCACCAGATAATCAGGCAGTTTCAGAGATGACCCTTGTTAGATGAGGTCTCATCCGAAACTTCTTCTTCCTTCCTCAAATCATGGGATTCCTCACCAAACACTCAAAAGTTGAAAAGCAGGAAAGAACATCTGATTCCAGCTTGGAATATAGCCCCTTAACATTTCTATTTAAAGCTGCATGGACTGTGTTTAATTCCCAAGATGTTGTTCATTGTTTTCTTAAATTTTTAAAAAACAGTTATTTTATTTAACTTTATTTATTATTCTTATTTTCCAGTTTGATCAGACAGAGAGAACGAGAAAATGAGAAAGCAAGCCACGAGGTCCAGGATTTGAACTGTGGTTGGCCGTGTGGGAGTCCAGCACCTTTAACCACCACACTACCTACCAGTCCCTGTTTGCTATTTTAAATAAAAATGACACAGTCACATTTGTTCCTCTCGTTTCAGGATACTTATTTCCCTTGGTCTGGGACTCTCTGGTGGGCCTACTCTGGTGTGAGAATAGAGACCCAAGTCCAAACAGTCACTTTATCCGGCCAGGGAGGCCACCTGGCTCCTCCTTCGGTGGGTGTCAGGGTTCAGGAGAGATCATCAGACCTGCAGGCTCTGAAGTGGTCACTTATTCAGTGGTTTAAGGGCAGCAGCTTTCGAGGCTCTAGGCCAAGCCCCTTTAAACCTGTGTAGGCCTTTCCCCTCCACACCAATTCTGTGGCAGAAGCACCTTGGGATCACTTGTATGTTCTCATGGAACTTCCCTGTAACCTGCAGTGGTTCATCACCAGGGAGGGATAGATCCATTGCCAAGCAGACCTCAGGAAGCTGTTAGCCTTCTGACAGCTCTGCACGTGAACTTCTGGCCCTGCCTGAAACCACTGGGAAGAGGTCTGAAAGTCAGCCCTGGTTCCTTCATGGTTGCTAGTCAGAGATGGAAAATGCAAATGCAAATTCCAGATTATTAAAAAAAAAAAAATCCCAGTATAAACTTAACCATAAAAGGAAGGATAATTCTGGTCTTGCTGACCTTTCCTTAAGAGTATCTAAAAATACTT